CCTCACGTATCCGAATAACTAAAATATGCGACAAACAATGAACGTTACATTTTAATTGCTGTATGAAAACCTCTCATTCATATAAAACAAAGCACCCAATTTGTAGCAAACCATCATTCCACCAATGTTTTCAAGGTTTACTAAAACTATACTGGTCGGCAATACATTTGGTACTGATTTTACTCAATGAAAACAACTAGAACACTCAACTATAGTGTTATTCTTCCCTGCAGCTCACCTGAAGCTCTTATGATACCAGCAAGCAACAGGAGCAGTGAGCAAAAGAAGCGGTGGTCTCCTTAGCAACAAGATCCTCCTCAGTGTCCTCTAGGACTCCTTTAATAAATATAAGTAAATGCATATAAATTTACTACATAGATTGCACTTCTGCACTGATATTGGGACCTAACGTATCACAAGCTTCCAATTACTGCAAATGAGTCTTTCAGAAACTATGTTGAGATCCGTTGACTACAAAATGATGTCTGACCAATTCGGGCCCCAAGTCTTGCCTTATAAAGCTCTCATGTTGGTGGTGGCTCTGGCTCGGTCCTCTCTTGTGCTGAAGGTCAATCAGCAGTTATTGCAACTGTATCCACAGGATGGTTGGGTCTAGAGGGGGCTCAGTCCCACCTCCCCAAATATATCTACCAGCTCACCAACGTTTCTCCAGTTTGGGATAATGGATGTTGAGAGGCGGTTGGAGAGAGTCATTGTTGTAACAGGACATGAAGTAAAGCATGAAGTGGAGTCCTGTAGCTCAGTGGTTAGAGCACTCACCTAGCAAGCGAGACACCTGGGTTCAATTCTTCGGGCAAGTTTCCTTACTCCACACGCCTAATAATAATCCCTCCAAAAAACCAAAACAATATTTTCAATCCACGACTGTTTGTGGGACACTGTTGTGCGCAATTAGATGCCGCGTTTTGCCCACAAATATACTGTCAATTCACTTTACAGCATATTCTGTGAAGTACTTTGAGATGTCAAGAAGATGTGAAAAGCGCTATATCAAATGCAAGGATTATTATTATTATTAGATTATAAAGCGAGTGTAGCAGTCAATCCGTGAATGAATGAATGGGAGTTGGATCCAGTGCCGACACACACACAGACAAACAGAAACACACATGCACTCTGCAGACTTCAGCGAAGTGCAATAAGGATATAAGAGAACTCAGTTCAGCCCCCCTCACGAAGACTATTTTCACCTGCCGCATATGACAATCCCAGTGTGCGTCAGTGCCTTCAGGAGAGGAAGGAAAAAACACTGAAAGGAGGGAAACTGTATTGATGCGGGACCCGAGAGGGCAAATCACCCATGGTTGAATAGTTCCTGGAGGCTGGATAAAGCACAATGTTGGCAGATCAACTGCTGATTTTCCAGCCAGCGGTATGTTTCAGGGAAACCTAAGGAGAAGTAGGATGGGGGAGGGAAGATATAAATAGCTATTGAAAAGTTAAAAATTTACCACAGTTAAAACAGTGCTGTGAATTATTTTAAATAAATTGCAGGTTCTAAATATACAATTCCGTGTTTCATATCTCAATAGGAATCTTATTAACTTTAAATTGTGCAAGTTCTGCGGTGCTTATTCAGCTCGGAAAAATCATAAAGATCCCTTTTGGTTGACTTGCTTTCTTTTGGTTCATTGTAAAAGCACAGACAATAAAATCTAGAGGGCATTTACACATCTCAACGTTATCATTTTTTAGGTACATTAAACTCAGTTATCAAAACACAGAACACCAAAAGATCAGCCAGCCCCTTTCTCTGCAGTGTTGCACAGTAACTGCTAACTCTTGAGAGCCTGACCACTTCACAAATACAGTTATAAAGGATGCAGCTAGAAATCTTTAGTACATTGTTTTACTGGGGGAAGGGAACAGATGCTACAATAGGACTCAAAAATTCTGCGCGAGGATGGGGTGGACTGGGTTTAACCAGAAAAAAGAAATCAGCCAACGTTCTCATTCTTCACTGTTATCCAATGATCCATATGCAAATGCAATGTACATGGATGCTTGGTGAGGACAGGATTGGACTCAGCTACGGTTCTCCCTCCCCCAGGTACTACCACAAATTAGGCTCAGATATGAAGGATGAGTACACAAGCAAAGGGCAGACAACTCCCATGGAACTGTATAGCACGCAAACATCTGAGTGAGGGTGAAAACATACCCTGTTAAATTCAAAATGTTCACTTGTCAAACACCTCAGGGAATATCGTCAAAAAGAAATCAAAGGCAGTGTACAAACCATCTAATTTTCCCATCATTCGATTTATTAGGCTATCAAACTGCGATACATAAAAAGCTACTTGTGCTCATTAAAGTGGGCATCCAAGCACTCGAAAGCCAGGCAAAGCTAAAAGTGTTCACACTACCCTCAATTTCAGCTATGTGGTTAGTGGAGGACAAACTAATAGCATTCAAAGGAATCTGCCTCAATTAAGTGAATGGAGTATGAAGCAGCTGATGGATTTTAATATGCATCAACTCAAGTTAACATCATTTAGAACAGGATATATACAATGAAGGATGTCCATTAGCAAGGGTGAGAAAGGAAAAGGTTCTCTGTTAAATTATCAACCACTTACATAACATTTTCTCGTCCATGTAGATGTATATTGAAATGTACACCTCTGGCACATTTGAATACAAGTCAGAAACCAAAGTGCATTATGCTAGTCCTAACTGTACTTGAGATGAGACGTTAAACCATGATCCTGTCTGTCTGTAAGATGTTAAAGATCGTTAAAGATCCCATGGCACTATTCTGAAAGAGAAAAGAGTTTCTCCCAGTGTCCTGGTCAACAATCTTCCCGATAGATTTGGTCATTCAATTCATGACACTGTTGTGTAAAAACTGGCTACTGCCTTCATCTGTAAATACACAATCGCTAGACTTTACAATAAAATCCTGAAGCATTTTGAGACTCCTCCCAACATGAAAGATGCTATACCAAATACAAGGATTATGTTAGAATTATTCCAAACATCAGTGCTACAGGGATCCTCAAAATAATGCACATCACATGCACAAGGGAAATATCCAAAGGGCTTTAATTCTGTCGGAGGTTAAATTAATTTTATAAGTAATGTGTACAATAACAAAGGTATGAATACATGTAGGTATGTATACAATGATGTAGGTATGCTTGCAGGCAGAAATAAACCATCTTTTTGAGATAAGACTAGATAAACAGTTAAAAAAAATTCAGCTGTTTGACACTGGATCGAGCAGTTACATTTTCTAACCGATTTGCTCACCGTCATACCCAGTGTCGTAATGTAGACCCTCTGTAGAGCTCTGCTCTTCCCTCTTTAATAATCTTTATTGCGCTACAGATGTTAGCTTGCACAAAGGCAATGGACACCAAGTCTCAGAACTCATCAACAGTTCCGCAATTTGTAAGAACCACACAATTTTGAGCAAGTTACAGGTTCTTACCGAAATGTTATTAACCTTAAAATCTGCTCTAAACGATTCAATCGCCTATCAAAATCCCAGTGCCAGATGGTGTTACTTTGTGAGATGAAGATGATTAAAATGCTGTGGATGCTGCCTTTCGATCATCAGAAGCAGGAAAGGCCAGTGCGCTCCTTCAGCAATAGCAAAACCTTGGCAGAGCTTTGACAAGCATCTGTAAAACTAGATATTTTTTTCTCACAGGTGCCACACTCAATTACTAACTGAGTAAGAAATTAACTGCTTTTAACATGAAATACACACATCTCACTTCATTAGAGATAAGAAGAAAGACTGCAAGTGCTGGAAATCTGAAATAAAGCTGCAAAATGCACAGAACATCAATCAGGTTTGAGCAAACATGACAGGTTCAAGTTACTGGTGTGAGCCTCCACCAGAACTAATATGGATGGAGTGCACGTTAAAGTGGCCCATTGATGAACAAGAGGAGGGTAAGAAAGACCAGACTCATTAGGCAAAGATATTTGGAAGAAATTTTAAAAAAATTTAGAAGTGGTTAACTACAAAGACAAAGAAAGTACTCAGTCAAATGGGTCATTAATACATTTTGACATCCTGGGAAACGTTATTAAAGAGCTCAGCAAGATACAAAAATAATGAGTCGGATACACAGGATAAAGCAATAAGAGATTCTTAGGAATGATCCAATGCTGCGTTTATGTCTGGGAATTAGGGCCCAGCATTGTTTCTCCTTTCACTGGCCACTGATCAATACCACTTTGAATGTCCTGAACAGCTGAAAGTCCTGCACCACCACAGGCTTTGTCACACACACCATGACATCAGTTTCTGACACAGTCTCTCTCTTGCATTCACTGTACTTTTAGTGCAACACACGTGCTCTATTATCTGTTCAAAAAACGTGGAAAGAAATGTGGGGTTCAAAGTCCAAAGTGGCCCAAACGTAGTCTCTAAAAGCACTCTGATCTTAGTGCAATGGATGACTTTTTTTTTAGAAATTTTTCATTTTTTTTGTTGGGAATCACCAAAATACCTTTGTGTCTTAAGACCTGCAGAAAGCTAGTTTGCCATTTTTGCTACTGTCCACTACCTCAATAACACTGGCAGTAAAATTGGCCCAGGTAAAACAGTTTTCCAATGTTCAGCTGCACCTTTCAGGCTTCCCTTACCCTAATTTAAGTAGCAAACCGTTGAGAGAGTAATTGATGTATCAGTGATGGAGGGGAAAGCACAGTGGCCATTGTTCTCCATTGACAGTCAGTGGTCAGGGTCAACAGAAAATATACAATTCCACCTGGTTACAAGCAAAACAAGGAGCCTCGATCTGACCTACCTTCCACTGCCTCTTGCCTTCAGGAGGAGACACAAGGAAAAGTGAGAGTGAAAAATAAAATAAGGGAACAGAAATAAACCAGAAACAATGCTGGGCAAAACGCCATCTTACCAAGATATTGGTTGACTGAACTGAGCTGGTTTTTTCTCTGTCTCTGAAGTATATTTCTTAAATTGCAATAGGGAAATGTCAATTATGGGAAAAACAAATTACCTCTTGAGTTGTTCTGTGAAGATGTACTGAGTGAAATCCTTCACTGTGGGCGCAAAGTACAATGTCTCGTGTACCTTGATTCCCTTCACCGTGATGTTTTCAGCAGAATTGAAGCGCAGAACGTAGAATGGATGAGAAACTTGGCCGAACACTTCAAACACCTGCAAAGTCAAGGGAAAAAAAACGGTGTCACGGCAAGTTTGATAAATTCTTTACAAAAGTACTTTTGCAAGCCAAATACAAAGAGGAAAATAATTCTGTAGAGAATTCTATACAGATGTTTTGGGCAAAATCTGCATAGGTGTTAACTCCTGTGAACAAACTGGCTGCCACGTTCACCTACAAATATAGTCATTTCACTTCACAGTAAAATCCTGCAAAGCACTTTGAGATACCTTAACATGGTAAGGCGCTATGTCAAATGCAAGGATTATTATTATTGTAAACAATTGGACTTAGTATTAGCCTAGGCAGTGAGATCAGAGTCCCGATGAGGGGTTTGAACATTTAACTTTCTTGATGAGAGGCGAAAGTGCTACTAACCGAGTCATTGTAGAAATGGAAATGAACAAGTTCCACATAAACCCAGAAAAAATTACTCAATAGATAAATACTTATCAGGAAACCTACCTACCTTCTCCTTGAAGTAGTGGAAATGTACAATATTTAGGAGACAATTATAAAACTTTCCTATCAGGATACAAGCTGAAAAAACCCTTAGGGTTTTGAGAGAAATTGAATTAATTTATGCATTGAAGGGTATTAAATGGCACTGTTGACAGATGGACTGACTTTTCAGTATTCGTTTCACTTTATAACAGCAAGAGATTCACAATAATATTTTTAATAAATGCCTGATGGAGACCTCCTGCTTGCAACTTTAAACAGCTGCCTTAGAAAGGGCAGAACAATTTCACTGCACTGAATGACTGACGCCTGCTGATCAACCATCACCACTCAACAACATCAGCCTTTTACTCCTCTTCACTGACTGATGCTTCTCAACCACTTCACTATGTTCAGCTCTAAAGCTTCTTACCCACCCACTGCATTCAGCACAGGAGGAAAGCCACTTTTCATCCAAACCATTAAGGACTGCACAAACTCCTTAGCGATCTTGGTGTGCTCAGTACTGCATCATGCTTATTTTATGTTCACTCACCACATCACTAATGAAAAATGCCTTCCTCGCACATAACCTTTTTTTTAGAATCCACAAAACGTTGAAACCACTTGTTTCTGGTGGACATTTTTGCAATAAATTTTCTAAAGCAAAAAAACGTGTAATGTATTTGGTGAACAACAAACATCATTTGTAAATATAATGCATAAGAGAGCAAAAGTTCTAATTCTACCTTGGTGAGTCGGAAATGAATGCCCATAAAATTATAATTGCAAAAAGAATTGAAGGGGAGAAAATCTTTCTATATACGAGTGTGGTTGGAGTATAGAATTTCTTGTCACAAGCCATAGTGAGATAGACTCCATTTTTGTAAACAAAAATAAGAAATTAATTAGTCGTTTGAATAGGAGGAATAGCGAAGGGTATGGGGGACTAGAAGTAAGCAGAGAAATGCTTCTACGTACCGAATTCACGTTGTTAGAATTTACACTCTTTCTATAATGTTAGAATCATAATAGATGTTGCGAACGGGTTAACTTTTAAGTTAAGTGTGGGGGGCAAGTGGACTGAAACTCATGAGTTGACACTCACGAGATCATGTGAGTGTCTCAACGACAAGATGTGTACTACTGTCCTGCATGTACACGAGATAACGGACTGTCTCAAGGACAGTGTGTTTGTGTGTGTGAGGCACGTACACCCCATGAGATGTTCACGTGAACCCAGCATGATTTTGGCCAGGTGACCTAATGTCCGCACCATGATTGGATGGACACAAGCTTAAGACACCGTGCCCGACCAAGATCGGTGCACCCAGGACAATACCTACTGTGGATGGAAGACTGAGAACTAGAAGGAAGAAGTAGACGACCATGAGGAGGGATTACGCGGTAATATTGTTCTGTTAGTGAATCGATTGATTGTGCCTACTTGCCCACGCCCATCGGGAACTTGGACAGATCCTGGAGTTTAATAAACACCACTCTGGTCGCAAACAGTAGCTGTGTTTGATTGGAACTCGAAAACTCGTTTTTTTTCCAACAACGTGAGGAACCTATTTACTCACAGACAAGAAATTAGGTTCCTCACGCAAGTACAAGCATCTCCACAATCGGAAAGATTAGCTCATGTGGAGAAAACCATTAGCGTAAATGTGATGGGCCAAATGTCCTGATTCTGTGCTGATTCTAGGATTCATCTTAAATAGTTAACAACAGCAATTTAGGAGAATCTGTCTCACTTCAAATAAAAATTAGTCAACTAAAGCATTTGCAACATTACATAGTCCAACATAATTATCTTAACTTTTTTTTAAATATACTATACACTTAGCAAATATTTAAGAAGTGAATTGTTTTGGTACAATTACCTTTCCAACCGAGTTGCAATCCTTTTTGAAAAGGACAGTTTCCTCATTAAGTGGCGGCTGGTCCTTCAACGATTCAACGATAACTGTGTGTGGGCGGGGGCAAGAAAGGAAAAACAGAGAAAGAAGTCAGAAATATCATTACAATTTTCCCCATGGTTTAATTTTTCGCTTGAAACATAATCGATTCTCCAGCAGGTGCAAAAGTCACAAATATTAAGGTGGAAATGATGGTGTTTTAAACAAGTTGTTTCCTGCACAATGTCAGGGGAAGAGTGCCAACAAGCAACTTTTCAAGGAATTCAGCAACTTGACACCCAGACCAGAACTGCAGACCCAACCAGAAGGTTGTCTGAGGCATTATACACTGCGGAATCTGAAGGTACAGTAAAACTCGCATGTCTTATTTTTATAAATCATATACACCTCCTAAATCATAACACAGATCCCCAACCCTCTATGACTCCCGCGCTTACCGGAGACCTTCATTCATGTGAAATGACGACCATACCCATCGACGCATGTGCACTTACATTGGATTGCAGGAAATATAACATGTCTTAACCTGTCGACTCATGCGCAGAAGTTCAATTCCAGCGATTCAATGCAATTCCTACATTGGCCAGTAAGTGCGCTTACAGTGACGAGTCAAGAGGCATTGAATCACGTGAAATGTAGTCTTAAACCATCACTGTATGTGCACTTACCGGCTGCATCAAATTATGCATGATTGCTTAACTCGGATTTTGTATGACTTCTACAGTTAGCCTGCAACTCAGGCTTCATGTAAGTTATATTAAATGTTATGATCCTGACTGGTATGACTTATGTGAATTTTACTGTAATGCTGGCAACCTTTACCCTCAGTTCACAAAGTGGCAAAGCTGTGAGCGAGTTACAGTTTTGCCCCTCAAAAAGGATCCCAACCTTGACCTGAGCAAACTCATATATTCCCATTATTGTGCATTACAACTGGAGTTTGTGGTAGCGTGTATCAATGTTCCAATTTGTTTCATCACAGTTAGAGGCGCAGAGACTAACTAAGTTTTCTCTTGTAGGACAAGAATTGAAAAGTTGTCTCCCCCCACACCCACCTCCACCGGGAACATTGGGTTCATACAAAAAGTAGGTCCAACAACAAAAATGTGGTTTGATGTCGACCTGTAAAATATGAAAATTATTCAATGAAAAATATCGTAGCAGAATAAGTAGGTTCTTCACACAGTTGCAGGATGCGTCTCCACAATCAGAAAGCATTTCTTCTATCAAACAACACAATATATTCTTTCACATCATCAAGGTCACTTTGTTCATCTGATCCTGCAGAGCTGTTCTTATGCATTTAGCGCAGCTGTCAATGTATCAATCCATCCACACTACATAATGTCCAGAATTACCTTGGACAATCAGGTGTAGAAATACAACAACTTGCATTTATTTAAAAATACCCTATTCATAAATATGCTGATAAAAATCAGAATACAGTAGTTTTCACTTCAGATTCTGCTAAGTATTCTTGTATTATATGTAAATATAGGTCTTACGCAATTAATTATACAATTCATAACTATTAAAAAAACATTTAAATTGCATTAGTAAAGGCATCCGTAATTCCTTTTGTAAACGATTTTATATTTAGGGCTCACAACATATCTAAACCTCTCCTGCCAGATGCATCAACACATTCATTCATTCATTCACTGTTAAAGTCATCTAACATTTTTGATTCACAAATTTAGGTGTCAATAATGCAAAATTGTGTTACTTACAAAAGGTTACTCCAGAGTAGATAACAGCAGGAAATGATATACAAACACTCTTCGTGACTTGTCTGTGATGGTGTTAGCTAAGTCCGCCACTCTTAACCCATATACCCTTTAATATTATGAATTAAATTTCCTTTAAAATGCATATTGTAAACTCAATACCAACAGCTATTGATATGTATTGTCAATCCCTCTGTGTAAAGAGAATTTTTTGTAATCTTCCTCCATTTTTTCTTCTATAACCATGATGATATCGTGAAACGAAATCACGGCGGTTCAGTGAAACGAACTGTAAACTGAAATCATAGTTGTATTGTACATTGAATTAATTAAGCCTCAATTTCTCTGAGGGGGATTGCCAATAGGAAATCACACTGATGGTTTCTTTCCATCCCTGACATTGGCATCGAAGATAACTAGGGATTGGCAGGGCTGGACCTACAACACACTCAAGTCAATTTTCACGCTCACTTCTTCATTAGTTGCAACACTGGCCTGTCAGGTTAGTTGCAAGCTGGTGAAAATCAATTCCACAAAAAGGTTGCTCCAAAGCACACAGTGAGAGCTGGAGAATGGGAAACGTCAAAGCTTTTGAAGTTAGAAATGTTAAAAAAAGAGTTACACATTACACAAAAAAGGCATAACATGGTATTTTAAAAGAAGCAGAGATAATAACAATAAAAAGAAAATCGGAGAAATAAAACAGGTGACAAAAAGTGGATGTAGTCATTCTTTTCAAAAATGTACTTTTGCGTTTATTTTGAATGAATTAAACTTGTTCATAACACTATCCTATTGGGAGTCATTCCATTACTATAATTTGTTTTAGCATCACAGTGCAAGGCTAAACAATCTTTAGGATGGGTCAGTATAGAGAAAAGAATCTCCATATACCTGGTGGTAATCCAGGGTTAATTTTATTTCTGCTATGACAGAAACTGAGCACGTACCATACAAGTCTGAGGGCTTGAGCTATAACCTGGGAAATAATTATGCGCTGTGACAAAGCACAAGTTTCCATTAACCCATAGCTCAGCTTTCTTTGACCTGAGTTTGAGCTTGATAGTTTAATATAGGAGATACAGGAGATGCAAGAGGATCGGGTAGGAATGAGAAATGGCCAGGCAGCACATCTAGTATTCATGTACAGTATTAGCTCAGCCACTTTCATGTTTCTCCTCATTGGCAATCAGCCAACCTGTCCATTTCCTTTCCGAGTCCTGCAACTGAGCTAACATTGCAAATACCAATTAACAAGTCTATTAAAATCACACAAATTCACTTCAAAAAGATTCACGCAACGGCTCTCAACATCACAGTACCCAAAGACTTGAAAATGGTCTGGAAATTGTCTGGTGAAATTAATAATTCTTGCATTTGATATTGTGCCTTTCACATCAGGCAGGTGTCCCAAAGCGCTTCACAGATTGTACTGGAGACTGACTGTGTATGTTGTGGATGAATGCGGAAGCCAATTGCCCACAGCAATGTCACACAAACAGCCACTGAATGAGTGCCCAATTTTTTTGGGGGGGATTGTTGGCCAGAACACCAGGAGAAACTCCCTTCTCTTTTCAAATAATGCCATGGGATCCTTAACATCCATCTGAACAGAGACGGGTCCTCTGTTTTAAAACTCATGTTTACAGGCCTGTTCACAGCTCTGAGATGCTACACTGAGTGATGGGTGCTATATATCTACAAATTGCACTGAACAGGCCCATAAAGTACATTTCTCAGTTTACTAAACTCCACCAAATAACTGACAATACAATAAGAACATAAGAAATACTGGACGAAAAAAGACCAAGGTCCATCTAGTTCGCCGTCCACCTTCCTGGCGGTCGCAAGCACATATGTCCCAAACTACCTATGTACTAAATCCCATAATGTTATTTCCTAAAAGAAAACTGTCTAATCTGTGTTTGAAATAATCAACAGTTCAATAAAACTAATCCTCCCAGTTGACTTCTCCATGCGATTCACAGAAGTAGATTGCTAATTTGCACATAGCAATATCCCACGAGCAGCCAATGGAGTGACCATTTTTTATTTGGGGGATTTATTGGCCAGGAAGGACAGCAGGAGAAACTTCCTTCTCTTAAGCACCTCATTAAGGTGGTGCACTTGTGGTGCACTTCCCGCTGTTGGAATAAATTGACTATCACCTCGGAATACACTGGTATATTTCAAACAGCAACCGAATGTCCCAGAAGGTTTGGTAGTTAAATGGTTAAAAGTAGCTTTGCTGGACGGGCTGAGGTTAGCTTCTGATTACATTTTCATATTTTCCTGGGAAGATGTTCACTCCTCTGAGATAATGAGCAACTGGGTCCTTGAGCATAGATGTAAGAACAATGGAGCACAGAAAGAAAAGGCTACAGCCTCAGACTCAAGGCTGAAAACAAGCAGGTTGTAGAAGGCTGCCCAGAGGTTGTCCATATCCGTGGGGACTATCTCTGTGACCAGGGGAGTTGGATTCAGAAACACATAAAAGATGTAACTTTGAAATATTTGGAGTTGTGTAGAGGGTCAGCACACTTCCCAGTGGAATCGATATCTATGTAAATGTACAGGGCGAGGGAATTTACCTCCAGTAAGAAAGTAACCATTAAAAGTGAGAGAGGAGTAGTTGGCAGCACGAGTGAGGTGCTGGGCTAGGAGCTGATTGTTTCTGTTGAGTTACAGGAGCCACCCTCTGTGATTCTGTGTGATAGTTCTGTGATCTCTCCAATGTATGTCAAGGTGTGATCCAAGGTCTACTGTTTAGTCTGGAGTACGAAACAGTGCCTGGATGTGTGTTGTTGTGCCTATATCGTTAGTTCTACTGTTGTGTGTGACTGGTTGGGTCCGATGGTTTATCGGATGCTGGTCCCAGTTTATTGTTGATATTGTGAGAGTCGGTTGCATCTGAGGGGTAATTCCAGAGGCTGATCTCTGCACAGAAGTTCGTTAAAGTATAATCTTGGGTGCCGTTCGTCCGGAGTACGAAGTGAGACCCAGATACGTACTGCTGGGTCCGAGGGTTTACCGGACGCCAGACTCTGTTTAGTATTTGTGTTACAGAATCAGTTGTCCCTGAGGGTTTTTCAGGGGCTGATCTCTGCTGTGTATTTTGTGCATGTTTGTCTGGAGTATTGAACAACCCCTGAGTGTGTGGTAAATGTTTTGCTCACATAGATGTGTTGTACTGTTATTGTGTTGTTATATGTAGTATAATTTGATTACAAATTGTTAAGCCTTTTATGTTTCATCTTATGCAATAAACTCCATACTCTTACCACCGTCTGTCGAATTATTTACACAGCTTCTGGAGCAGA